ATTAAGCTCTTTCCTTTCTCATCACAAAAGTTACATACTTTTTCATCCTTTACCATACACACACCCACACACCAACATGCATCATATAAATCACGTTGACCGGGATGACATGACATTGACTTGATCAGACCGGTTTTTGATTGATCGCACCTAATATTCTTGCCTTGTACTAATTAAACTTGGGTTGATTTTGGTTATTTCCTAAGGAAGTGGCTTACAGTGAGTCACGAAACATCAGGGAATTTGATTTTTCAAAAATATATATATATATATATATATTTATTTATAACATTTTCAATTGTGTAGTACGAAAACTAGTGACTTGTTTTAGACAACGCATTAGAAACTAAGAAGTACTGAACAGCCGTTTCATCTTAGTATGAGACTCCTCAAAAATGCGCACCCACAACTCCATTAAAGACTGAACCCAGGAGTTGAGTTGCAGTCCGATGGTTGAATATTTCAAACTCGAGTTCATTCAATATATATCATACTATCAGTGTTGGTATATGATTTACCTTCAAAGTGAATAAAAAGAACTAGTAGTTGCGATAAAAGTAGTAGTAAGAAAAGACTACGTAAAAACAATATGGATTGAGATAAATTTTCTGAATAAAAAGTATAGGATAATTTTAAAAGTCATGGTCTAGAGCAAGAACAAGAATAAATTGAATATGAATGAATGTTTGAATATGAGATATGTTAACCAACACCTTCAACTATTGATCATAAGATAATTCCGAAGATTCTAACCAGGTTGTCTGTACCCACCTTAATCACTGAGTTCAGAATACATGGTTGGGGTACAAGTGATTACAATCAGTAGGAAAACGTTTAAGAAGTCGATGATAGTTTCAGTTTATCAGTATATGGTTGTGGAAATTGTTGAGTTTCATTGAAATCATGAATCGATCAATGATGGACTATCAATGAAGACCTGAAAGTTAAGTTTGTGGCACTTTTCAGTGAAGTTTCCATAAACACTAACTCGCAGCACAGTAGTCGAATGAATATCAATAAAAATTCACTTCTAAAGGTTTATAACAGTTCAATTTGTTTATAAATAAAATGAAACACACAACACTAAAGATATCTACAAAATAATGCAATTAAAGAGGAAAAAACTCGAAGAACTATGAAGAACAAGTAAAACTTGTAACTTTGCAAGAAGAACAGCTATGAGATAGAAAACGGGAAACCTGAGAATTTTAAAGTTCAGATACAACTCTACTAACAGTAGCGTTCAATAACGATCTAACGATTCAACAAAAATGTATACAGAAAAACAGAATTGCTTACTCAACAAAGCACATTTTATCTAAAATAATTTGACCAGATCTACAAAATATCAGCAAGTCATATAATTTTATAACATCCTGTTATATATTTAAAATATACTCACAGTTGAGCATTGATTCATAAAGCACTCATATTCATATATGTAGCTACTTTTTATCGCGCTACATCTGAGAATTATTGAGGTTGAATTTGTTCTATTCGAAGGCTACTCAGTGGTTCTTATCGTTGAAGACTCGTCAAAAAACTGGGAAAGAATTAATCCAGACCATGGTGAGGTCGTGGGTGCATACTGCTGAACAATCCCATAACAGAAAATAAAGTAGCATTCGTTCACGTATAACAATGGCAGATACATTAACTAATAACTATCGATACAGGGTAATCAGTTAGTTAGGAGATAAGAAGAAACTTACATCACTTAACATAAATATGTCTCAGTCAGTTATGTTGTTAAGGATAAGTGTACTATTAATTGAAAATTCAACATAGTTCAATTTTTAATTTTTATTCGTAACTTGGATTCCTTATTTTAGAAAACTTTCCCACCGACATAATATATTCATATAGTGTTTTCTTTATGGTTTGAGCAATTTTTATCATATAATCTCCTATTTATTTGCTAAATACTTTCGCAGGATATAATCAACATAAATAGAGAAACATGATACTGATGCAGAATTCAGATGCTGTGATGTTGTAAATGATAAACGAATAGATTTAGAGAGCAGAAAGAGAGAGAGAGAACCATGAGAGAAAAACTAGAGCGAAAAATAGAAAGAATGAAAATCAGTAGTATTTCACAGAGAATAATGGATAAATAGTTATATAGTGGGTGAACAGACGATCTTTTTAAATCTTAACCTTTTATACTTGATCATGAAATCAACCTTAGGGTATTTGGCACTACATTTCATGGAAGGACTGATCAGATAACTCATGGAACTCAGTTACCAATACGGCTATAGTGTTTCCGCATCATCGCTGATGCTAGTTGGTGATGAAAGCTCTAGCCTTGAATCTTACTTTAAATGACTAACTCTAGCCAAGAACTATCTGGAGATTCTTAAGTTAACTTGGATCCTTATATCATTGGATTTTCAATTTACAGGTATAGTAATCTACGAAAAACTTTAATATATTCATTAATAATGTATATTTTGTTAACACTTTGCAATATTCTGACTTTTTACCATAGAGTATTCATTTACAAAGGTTTTTTTCTGATTAATCAAGAGCTAAGTGAAAATCTATCGCAATTCATTTTAACATTAATACAATACTGTTTTCTTTTGATTTCCATAACAAATAAAGGCATCACAACTCTGAGTCATTAAAATTAATTAACATTTATAAATGATTAAGTATATATGTACAAAGAATAACAACCGTTATAATACGAGTTCAGCAGCAGATAAACTGAAAGTGATATATACAATTAAATATTGACAATATGTTTTAAAATTTTCTAAAATAAACTTAAAATAACCCATTGTACTGTTTTTCTATTCTTTATAAAGTAGTAAAACAAATCAAAGTGCACACTTATCGGCAAAGTACATGACAAAACACAGTGACAATATTTAAAAAAATCATCTCTACGTTAGGAGATGAAATAAAATGAATAGGTTGGTTACATTAAGAAAATAGTACTATATATATATGGATGTAAGAATCACTAAGGAAAATGTGAGACGAAAAACTAAGGAACAGAGAAAAACATTTAACTGAGTCAACCAAAATATAATGGTAGAATATTTGACAATAGTAATAGAGAACATGACATCTAAATTTAACCGTTTTGTATTCAATTCTTTTTGAGTCAGAAATAACTGAGATGCGATTCAACGATAATTAATTTCCCATTCAACGTACAATGAAGTATTCTAAGAAAAAGGTGAAGATAGAAATTATAAAAACCAATTATATCGATTAGTGGTATACAGTTCGAAGAAACAGTCCAACTGTTGTATAGGTACACTTTGGTTCATTATACTTCTTATACACTGTATATTATGAAGATTATATATTTCACACTGTTCGAAACCAGTCGGCTAGGTTTACTCGAATTTATATATATATTACTTGATATCATAGTACTATTGTTAACTCATCTGACAGGTACAGATTCGCATACTTGGCTCTTCCTCACACTTCGTGTGAGGTCTAGTGATACTACTTGGTTGCTGAAACAGAAGTAGATGAAAACGGATTTCCAACTTGTGACCTAATGGTTGAAATTCGAACGCTTTGGTCAGTGAGTAACTGTTCCACTTGCACCACACAAAAGTTTGACTGATCAATTCGGTTCGACACAGAGAGTGACAGTGTTCGAATTTTCTTCACAGTAAGCAAACGTTTATCCACTTTACGTAGATTTTGTATTCAGTAAATGATAATTTTTATATATATATATATATATATATATATATATATATATACAATATACAGGTGTATAATTACCAACATATACTTTATGTAAGTAGTGATTTACCACCACAAACTAACATTCACTAAGGAGCCATTTAATGATAGGACATTAGACGACCTCTTTGTCATGGTATTTTGATTTATACTTAAACAAATAAACATAAGTACAAAGGGGGACCAAAATATATGCGTCCTATAAATCATCAAGTATATGTGTAGGCTGGTAAAATGTCCAGGTGCCCAGATCGAACCAAGTGGTTTTCTTAAGGGGCCACTTCCCGAGCCTTTCACCTAGAGGTATCATTCACAAGACAGTGAAGCGACGTTGGGAGATATGGTCCCATGGTAGCCGGTAACCAGGAATAGGTTCATATGCCGTTTGTTTCCTCAGGATCCTTGAGCCCATGTGCACCATTCGTTTGGAATGAGGTCTTCACAACTCCCCTTGGTGAATACTCCGTACTCACCAATACGGTTTAAGTGCTGGACATTCACTTCTCGACCTCTCAAATTCGTAAACAATATCATCGCCACCATAAGGAAATGATTAAGACTTACCTTGCAGTGGTCATATGAGAGTACTTCGAAGTAGAGTGAACTTCCCCCACCTTTGACCGTACTATGGCATTTAGGGGCGGTGCACTGCCATTTTTGCTGTACACTTATAACTAATTATCAAAGAATTTACAATGGGTCTCCCAAAGTAACAGACAATCGAGTGTAGGATGATAATATAGTAGGGTTAGAAATAGCACGGAATACGAGATTAGAACGTACTAAACGCATAATTGTTGCCGAGATCCAAATATTTCTCGAAAAAGTCCAGATGGGCTCTGAAAACGCTGGCAACTCTTTCTACCAGTTAATGCTGAATAGAATTTTTTCAGAAGCATCTAGAGAGTGAAGAGTCACGTGTCACAGTTCTGATTGGGTGATTACCTACCCTACTACTATGTTTAGCATGGTTTCAGAACCTTGCAGAAGTCCAAGGTCATTTGTGATAATATAAATGCCCTCGATTTTCTGTACATAAACTAACATTAAAGTAAAGCATTCCTTTTAGACTTCACACCTTTTCATTCGTGTCCACGTTGTCGTGCAGATTTAGCCTGGGGTTATTAGAAGAGCTTAGGAAACCGATTCATGAGTTCAGTTAGAAGACTTATTAATAATAAAAACAGAACATTTACTTAATGCAATTATATGCAAAGCTTTTTCTGATATATATATATATATATATATATATATATATTCTATTACCTCTGTATATATAGTCAAATGAACTGATTTTGTTTAGCAAGAGGCCTATTTAGAGGTTCAGGTCTTAGACCAATATTGAAACGATTCGCAGCGTATGTTGTATATCTTCGACGAATAGAGTATCCTGTTTGTTTATTCAAGGTATTCAAAGAAGTCATATCATTTGCCTTTGATTGATGAATGCTTAAAGATGATTTAGCAATTAAATCACTCATTGATCGCGAAGGTCGTGACTTTTTATTCTGTGGATTTGAAAACCCTCTGAAAATATAATCCAGAAAAAATAGCATTGAAAGACATCAATCAGGAGCGATAGATTCTGTTAATTTGTTTAGGTGGCTTGATAATGTATGTGCATTGTGATGAATAATGGTAGTGATCCTGATAGCCTGCAGTAAGTCCTTGACCTAGGTTTCGTGCCAGTTAGCAGTCGGCAACAACATGTGTCTGCAATCTTCAAAGGAATGATGGACTCTGAGAGTATCAAACCCTTGTCAAACAGTCAGAGAGACATTACCACGTTACAAGACTAACATTAAATTTATCTAAACAAATACTCAATCAGGCGGAAGTAATCAAAACAAACCACTAAATAAGAACATGTGTACATATATATTCCATACAACCCTTGTAAGATGACGTTTACATGCAAATTCAGAACAACATTGAAACGAATGTGAACGACATTCATTTCGACAGAACTTTAAAAGCTACTGATACCTTTGTAAGTAGTACAGTAGATCATGAGTTGACTTTTAAGGGGTGTTCGGTTTTAGAAGAAACTAATTTTATATGGTAAATAGCAAAAGTGATAACATACTCATCTCTTTGTAAGATCCCTTTCAGACATACTTTTATAACTGAGTTTGCAGAGTAATATCAGTAGGTTGGGGGTTTGTGGAGATCGCTAGATCTTTATACTGATGAATGAGCATCTCTCATCTGGGTTCGAAAAGGTGAAAACAAAGGCTCTGTATTAACACACCTGATTAACAGTGGATGTGCTAGATCAAGCTAAATTAATTCGAGTAATGTATCATATACCTTAGTCATTTCTCAGTGGGACTTGATCCCGTCTCCCAGATATAAGGATCTGAACCTATAACCCTAGTCTATGTGTTCAGAAGAAATTTGTGACATCCCTGACTCTTCTTTGGCCAGATACGACTTAATAAATGATTCCACTGATTTATTTACATCTCGCATATTTCCATCATTCTCACCTCTTTCCGTTTATATGCTTCATTATCTGACTTTAAAAGCTTCTTATCACGTAATTTCAATAAGGTTTTGTGATTATTATTTCGAAGTCTATTTATTCAACTTCGACCTATTTTCTCTGTTGAACTTATTATTACACTTGTCTTCTTACTTCCAATCAGTACTTTTCATATATTTTTTAATTATGATCATTGACTTATAAATTGCCTTGAGTAGTTTAATACATATTCATGTAAATATTTATGTCTTTTAGAGTAAGCCTGATGAAGATCTAACTGAACACAATATTGTTCGCTTACATGTCTGGTTCAGATTTTTATACTTTACACCACGGACTAATTTTATTTAGACAGATACTGAAAACCAAGGTCTTAACAGTTGTTCTGTTCTAGGAAAGAGTTTCTCAGCAGTGCGCTTACTAGAGAGTAAAAGGACATAATAATATTACCACTACAGATATTATTGTCTTTCATAGTTTTTTACAAGTTTATTTTTTCAGTGACATAGGTTTGAATAATATTAACAAATCGACTCATTTAAACTAATAACCAAATACCTTTCCACACACTACGGTTTGAGCAAACCTTTCTATATAATGACTAGTACTACTAATGTCTAGTTGTTATTTTATAATGAGTGAAGTAAGATAAAAGTAAAAACCAGGAAGCGCATTTTGTCCCACCTGGGACTCGTCTGTTGGATGTTCTTACATCCCAGAGTTCATGTTCACTCCGATACTCAAATTCAGTACCTTTTGTGCCACATGCCGCCGCGTTATCCACCTGGCTACTGAGTTCAGATGAATTTTAATTCACACATATTGATTGTTAGGATCTTCCCATTGAAGCTTAGGACTGTGATTGATCTGAATTCAGTATGAAATATGACAAAAGGGACTGATCAACTGGAGTCCTGAACATCAATAAGAAGACCCGAACAACCAAAACGAACGAATTAACATTCATTCCATTGCACAAGCAAGTGGCTATCGGGACTCAGTAGCTAAGTTGATAGCACGATTGCGTCCAAAGCGAAAAGCACTGATTTTGAGTCCTAGGATGTAAGCACATCTAGCTAAGAAGTCCTGAATTGGAAGAAACGCGCGTCCTGGATTCCACTGCTAGCTACTATCCATCTGTGCTTATAGTGACACAAGGTTCAAACAAGCGATACAATAGTTGATCGTTATGATCTTCAGTTATTAAATCATTAAATCATAAAGATCGGTTTATGAGTCGTAGATGTTAGGTTTGAAGTTACGTTGAATATGGTTCAGACCGATAACCTAATAAATGATATTTATGTGGCTAGACTTCCGACAGGTGATTAAATCATATTGCAAGAACTTGATGTACATACATAATATGAACGATTGAATAATAGTAGACCAGTGTAAATTATCACGAAAACTCCAATGTACACTTGGATTAGTAATAAACACTCCGTCAAATTTACTACAACCATATCATGAATTGATATTGATAGATTAATACAAGCGCTTGTGTGAACTGATACAAAACGGAATGCATATAATGTTGTAATCTTACTGTTTATATAATATGTATTCATATATAATTAATCTTGAACTTTTATCTTATGTATATTTCTTGAACACGAGTGCTTTTCCATATCCGTTTGTCTATATTACCCTTTTTTGTTTAAACCATGTAAGCTGAGATACAAGATTCTTTAACAAATCGGCTAGTATTGCCAATTTCAACACTATATTGCTACAATTATTCTCCTTATCTTGTTTTGTTTATCAGTACATTTGATTGAATAAAGTCCCATAAAATTTCGTGTTGAGCGTTTAATATCACCGTTATCCAAATGGAGTTAGCTGGAGTATCATGTACGAATTTATAGGTGAGTATAACCAGACTGTGAAATCAGATGAGCTACAAGAAGTGGTGGACTCCCCTAATCACAAAACGCCACTGAGACAAAGAATTACAAAAATACGTGAACATGAATAGTAACCGATTTCCAGTTTGTCAAGTCATCATCAGTACTAATCTTATTCCATCAAGTTACAAATGTGTCGATTGGTCCTAGTGACTCAAAATCACGTACATGTCACTTGAACAGATAAAACTAGATTAGTACTAATGACTAGGACAAACATGAAATGATTTACTAATCGATGGTCTTTTCCAGTGTAAATATCTGTCTAACGAAAGATCAATAATGATCTGAATAGCTCAATGGTAACGTATATAACTGGTACATTTTGGTGAAGTTCAAATCTCATGGAGAGGATCAGTTTCTTCAAGGTTGTTAAGAAAATGTGCTTTGTTGGTAAGTGTAAAGTAAAATGGAACCAATCACCTCCAATCAACTAACATTAGCAGTGTTCAATAAACTGTCATGTGAAAATATATTCAAATTGAAAAGCGTAAACATTGTTAATTAAAAATTTTGAAGCATTTGGAACAGGTTTTCTGTTAATACACACAAACAATCGTGTTCATAAAGCTACTAAAACAAAAAGTCTTATGTGATGATTATTTTTTGTTTTTACATAAATAACAAGACATATAACGAAATACCTTGATGTGAACTGATTTACAAACTGGAACATAACATCATTAAAATGTACACAAGAAAATTGTAAAGTACCATTTACCCAGTCAATTATTATTTATAAATCTGACTAACAGTACAATTCGATAACAAATAGGCAAATTATCACATGTATTATTAATTTTTACATAATTTATTTAATCTATAACTATTTTAATAGTAGACTACCAATTCAGGTAACATTGAGTTTGGTGTAGTTGAAGCAATTGTTTTTCGACTGAATAAATTATACATAATCGAGTTCTACTTAAGTTTGAGTAGCTAAGTATCTTTTACAAATAGATCGTATGATTCACGCAAGAATACATTAAATTTTTCTAGGTCTATGCAACTGTATCATATTATTTCCATTAACTCTGGAAAAATAAATTTTTTAAAGTTGTATGCATTTAAATGAAACAACATATTACTCTACGTGAGGTAAGTAATGTGATGATAATGTTGTCTAGAATGACAATGACAGTTTCACAATCATCAATGAAAAGAATTACTGACCTGGAAGTTTTAGTTTTAATTGTTAAAAATGATACACTAAGTGAGGGATCACGATGACTAGTTGAAGGTAACACACATGCTGTTGGAACAAATGTTTTCGGTGGTTTACTTCCACTGCTAAGTACTGGAGAAATCGAAAATTGTGAAGTATGAAATGAATAAACGCCGGGTGATGAAGATGTTGTAGGGAAAGTATGATGATAATTTGAAGCATAATAAAAGTTGGCTGATGACGATCTCTATAAAGAATAGAACAAATCATTAAGTTATTTTGGTAATATATGTGGATCTTTCTTGCAAGTTAATAAATTATAGATCATATGGATCATATATTCGCATTAAGTAAATGTTCTGTTTTTATTATTAATAAGTCTTCTAACTGAACTCATGAATCGGTTTCCTAAGCTCTTCTAATAACCCCAGGCTAAATCTGCACGACAACGTGGACACGAATGAAAAGGTGTGAAGTCTAAAAGGAATGCTTTACTTTAATGTTAGTTTATGTACAGAAAATCGAGGGCATTTATATTATCACAAATGACCTTGGACTTCTGCAAGGTTCTGAAACCATGCTAAACATAGTAGTAGGGTAGGTAATCACCCAATCAGAACTGTGACACGTGACTCTTCACTCTCTAGATGCTTCTGAAAAAATTCTATTCAGCATTAACTGGTAGAAAGAGTTGCCAGCGTTTTCAGAGCCCATCTGGACTTTTTCGAGAAATATTTGGATCTCGGCAACAATTATGCGTTTAGTACGTTCTAATCTCGTATTCCGTGCTATTTCTAACCCTACTATATTATCATCCTACACTCGATTGTCTGTTACTTTGGGAGACCCATTGTAAATTCTTTGATAATTAGTTATAAGTGTACAGCAAAAATGGCAGTGCACCGCCCCTAAATGCCATAGTACGGTCAAAGGTGGGGGAAGTTCACTCTACTTCGAAGTACTCTCATATGACCACTGCAAGGTAAGTCTTAATCATTTCCTTATGGTGGCGATGATATTGTTTACGAATTTGAGAGGTCGAGAAGTGAATGTCCAGCACTTAAACCGTATTGGTGAGTACGGAGTATTCACCAAGGGGAGTTGTGAAGACCTCATTCCAAACGAATGGTGCACATGGGCTCAAGGATCCTGAGGAAACAAACGGCATATGAACCTATTCCTGGTTACCGGCTACCATGGGACCATATCTCCCAACGTCGCTTCACTGTCTTGTGAATGATACCTCTAGGTGAAAGGCTCGGGAAGTGGCCCCTTAAGAAAACCACTTGGTTCGATCTGGGCACCTGGACATTTTACCAGCCTACACATATACTTGATGATTTATAGGACGCATATATTTTGGTCCCCCTTTGTACTTATGTTTATTTGTTTAAGTATAAATCAAAATACCATGACAAAGAGGTCGTCTAATGTCCTATCATTAAATGGCTCCTTAGTGAATGTTAGTTTGTGGTGGTAAATCACTACTTACATAAAGTATATGTTGGTAATTATACACCTGTATATTGTATATATATATATATATATATATATATATATATATATATAAAAATTATCATTTACTGAATACAAAATCTACGTAAAGTGGATAAACGTTTGCTTACTGTGAAGAAAATTCGAACACTGTCACTCTCTGTGTCGAACCGAATTGATCAGTCAAACTTTTGTGTGGTGCAAGTGGAACAGTTACTCACTGACCAAAGCGTTCGAATTTCAACCATTAGGTCACAAGTTGGAAATCCGTTTTCATCTACTTCTGTTTCAGCAACCAAGTAGTATCACTAGACCTCACACGAAGTGTGAGGAAGAGCCAAGTATGCGAATCTGTACCTGTCAGATGAGTTAACAATAGTACTATGATATCAAGTAATATATATATAAATTCGAGTAAACCTAGCCGACTGGTTTCGAACAGTGTGAAATATATAATCTTCATAATATACAGTGTATAAGAAGTATAATGAACCAAAGTGTACCTATACAACAGTTGGACTGTTTCTTCGAACTGTATACCACTAATCGATATAATTGGTTTTTATAATTTCTATCTTCACCTTTTTCTTAGAATACTTCATTGTACGTTGAATGGGAAATTAATTATCGTTGAATCGCATCTCAGTTATTTCTGACTCAAAAAGAATTGAATACAAAACGGTTAAATTTAGATGTCATGTTCTCTATTACTATTGTCAAATATTCTACCATTATATTTTGGTTGACTCAGTTAAATGTTTTTCTCTGTTCCTTAGTTTTTCGTCTCACATTTTCCTTAGTGATTCTTACATCCATATATATATAGTACTATTTTCTTAATGTAACCAACCTATTCATTTTATTTCATCTCCTAACGTAGAGATGATTTTTTTAAATATTGTCACTGTGTTTTGTCATGTACTTTGCCGATAAGTGTGCACTTTGATTTGTTTTACTACTTTATAAAGAATAGAAAAACAGTACAATGGGTTATTTTAAGTTTATTTTAGAAAATTTTAAAACATATTGTCAATATTTAATTGTATATATCTATAGTATTCTAATTATAGTATGAATTAGGAATTCCAGGATTAACGCAATTGAATTAAGAAGACACAGGCACAACGAATGTACTGTATTTAGAATTCGAAATCGAGCATTCAACAAGTACAAAAGAATCATTAGTTAATTCAAACACCACATCCGCCACAGCTTAAATAGAAGTATAAGTGTTTGTAATCGGTTGTACGTCTTCTTGTTAAGTTCATCCTGAGTCTGTCCGACATTGTATAAGATAAAAACTTTGTAGTATCTAGAAAGTGCTCATTAGTATTGGAATTAACAAACGAAATCGGAACAGACTCACCTGGAATTGTATACAACCAGCATGTCGGTTTTGTAATGAAATCATTAATATCTAGAATTCGAACCATAGATTTTTCAACACTATCCCCCCCCCCACGAAATAATGTTGGATCTTTATACTCCCAAGTTATGAATAATGTGGCTTCATTTAAAACATATATCTCACATTGTTTAGAGTAAACATTAGAACTGTTTTTGTGATAAGAGTAAACAGCAGTTGATATGAAATCATCCGAAATATAATAAAACTCGAGGTCACTTAGTACTCGTGCTTCGCATTGGGCAGGTTTTTCACGAAGATCAAATACATTATGAGGATAGGTAATATATGATATGACATCAGGATTTGATTCTTCTGAAATATTCTCATGAAATTCATCAGGACTGTCGTTGCAGAGCGTAGGATCGTTAGAAAAATCAGCATCTATCCAAACCACATCAGGTTTTCGATCATGATTAGGTTCATTTAACATATTTTCCTCAGAATTGCAAGTAATTTCATTAGAAATATGTGAATCATTAGGAAAAGTCATACTTGGTACAATAGCATGAGAATTCTGATAAATCGGTTGATTAGGAAATGTTGTCTCACAAGAATTCTGGATTTCATTTAACTCTGAACTGCCATATGACTCTGCACTGTCTTTTGAAATCGTTGATAAAGATAAATGATCATCATGAATACTCGACTCAGTAGAATCAGAATTACAAGACTTAATATTAATTGCAGTAAGATGAACATTAGCATTACAAACTGACTGAACTTGTCCAATATCACGACATTTGAAGCATTTAGAATTATGAAATTTACATGAATTAGAAGAGTGGAACTTGCAACAGGACAAACACTGACCAAACTTGTCCCCATCCTCGTGAATGGCATCCAAATTCAATGAATTGTCTGCATAACCTTGAGTATGCACTAGGTTGAGATGACGTAGTAATGTAGTGGACTTTTTTATATCCTCATGAATCATTTTACGAAATCTTCCTCCTTTACGACATTTGAAATTTGTATACTGAGCATAGTCTAGCAGTAGATCCTTGAGAGCTGTATAAGAAAGCGAAATGGGTTTTTCCGGCATAGCCAGAGTTCTTAATAAGCTGTATGCTTCTTTTCCAATGAATGTGAGGAAGTGTGCCACAATATTAACATCCTCATCATCTTCCTTGGTCATAGCCCAGATTTCAAACCTTTCAAAGTAATCTTCAAAAGCTTCTGAAGTTGAATGAATATCTAACTTTTCCATTGCAGGCTCCATCGCGACGCCAATATAGTATTCTAATTATAGTATGAATTAGGAATTCCAGGATTAACGCAATTGAATTAAGAAGACACAGGCACAACGAATGTACTGTATTTAGAATTCGAAATCGAGCATTCAACAAGTACAAAAGAATCATTAGTTAATTCAAACACCACAATATCACTTTCAGTTTATCTGCTGCTGAACTCGTATTATAACGGTTGTTATTCTTTGTACATATATACTTAATCATTTATAAATGTTAATTAATTTTAATGACTCAGAGTTGTGATGCCTTTATTTGTTATGGAAATCAAAAGAAAACAGTATTGTATTAATGTTAAAATGAATTGCGATAGATTTTCACTTAGCTCTTGATTAATCAGAAAAAAACCTTTGTAAATGAATACTCTATGGTAAAAAGTCAGAATATTGCAAAGTGTTAACAAAATATACATTATTAATGAATATATTAAAGTTTTTCGTAGATTACTATACCTGTAAATTGAAAATCCAATGACATAAGGATCCAAGTTAACTTAAGAATCTCCAGATAGTTCTTGGCTAGAGTTAGTCATTTAAAGTAAGATTCAAGGCTAGAGCTTTCATCACCAACTAGCATCAGCGATGATGCGGAAACACTATAGCCGTATTGGTAACTGAGTTCCATGAGTTATCTGATCAGTCCTTCCATGAAATGTAGTGCCAAATACCCTAAGGTTGATTTCATGATCAAGTGTAAAAGGTTAAGATTTAAAAAGATCGTCTGTTCACCCGCTATATAAAATATATGTAGCCGTAAATAAGCATTTTAAACACCTAACACTATCATTTTTACTATGTTGTTTCAAAAAGAAAAATTATTTTTTGTTATCATTTTAAACGTTCTGGGAAGTATAAAGTGGTACTTCAAGTGCTTGTCGTATGCGACACCTAAAATTTTGCACAAAAGCCCGATTGATTCATCACTGTGCTATACTTGTACTGAATAGTTATATTTGTTTATTTCCTCTGTGTTTATAACTTTGTGATGTGATTCTATATGCAAGATATTGAGGTTTTGAACTGCGTGTAAGATTCTAAAAATGTGAGAGTTTCGCGTTTCTAGTTTCTCATAGTAATCTCCCGAGTGTTCTTATCTGATTTACTTAAATGTAAAGACGTAAGTTGTCATTGCCGATGCGTTGTAAACCCTAACAATAAAGATAAGAACTTATTCAATGGTTTTAAACTAGACCGTTCAACTAACTCCAACCAATCTAGCTTAAATAGATGAAGATGGTCAATAACTCAGTGAAGAATGGGTACTGAATTAATTGCATCTCAAGTCGAGACACCTTGCAGTCGATTATAGCAAGTTAAAGCTCATTTAAGGCTGAATTACTGAATAAAATAATATTCCTTATAAAACTGAAAGGTATATTGATTTCGAAGGTCAGTCTTACTGTTTGTCACCTTGTTCACAGTAAAGGTTCAAAACAACCACTGAATTTGACAAATCGTCTCTAGTTATTTCACAATAGGAGCACCCTAAAAGTCTAATGAAAGCTACATTCGGTCCCGACGTTCAATAAATAACATCACATTTTTCAGTAATAATCCTGGAAATTTCGAAACCGGGATAATTTATACTATGAATCTTTAAATGCGTAACATCTTAGTCATTAGGACGATGGAATATCAATAACCGTGAGTACCGTAATTAGTGAATTCTAGAAGGAGGATATCTCGGGTCTACTTATTGGACAAAAACGTCTGTTTCCGTTTAGAAACTAATAGTTATTAAAAAATCACTTAGTCACAAATCGAGTAAACATGTAGATCACCAGCGTACATAATCTATGTCGAATGACTGGAGGCGTACAGGAGTTAGATGGGAGTGGTGTGACGAACCATCTAATTTCGAAGTCATACCTCGCGGTCGGTGCCTAACTTGGATTACACCTTCGTTGTATCAAGGCACTATGGGTGCTTTGAAGACCGTATAGCACAAAGGACGATATTACGGAAATATATTAGTAGGAATGGATTTAGAGAAGATAGTGCGACCACCACCGCATGGGCCAGCAAATCGCGTATTATTATGTGATGTGGGTTGGTTTTCCTTGACCTAAACGGAGATCGATGAACTGTCCGACAGTCAGTGACCCAACTGCCAAATGATCTGGCTAGGGCCCAGTGACGTTTCGCTGACCTTTCAAACCTATTGTTATGTATTCAGCTTTTGATTATTGCCCGCGTGATCCGATAACCTAATAATAAAAGCAGTTGACTAATCCACTTAATTCCTGACTAACCAATAACATAATCTAGTCAACAGCAAATCCTTATATTGGTCAAAAAATGCAGTTTCCTCTAATCCCAAAGCCATTCAAATCACACAGAAGATAAACATATACTTATTATAAACATGACTCAAAAACCTAGTTTTCAGTCAGTCAGTAACAACGTAGAACTTCGTACGTACGTACATCAGTTCGAGTTGCCCCACCACATTAGCACAGAGATGCAGTGGTCGATTCAAATCCCGTAGTGCTAGATGTAGTAAAATTATAAGTTGTAATCAGAAAAACTGGGGTTTGAAGATGTTATTCAAGGAGTATAATCCAGTGAAACAAATTTGGAAAGAGAAAAAAGAAAGGGACCTAGTTTTACACCCGACAGTTACAATGCACGTCAAATACAAAATTAGAATATGTATGATTAGGACATTAAGGAACATTTCGAACTGTAGGCTCAGGGTTAGTGAAAAATAGTTTGCAAATGGTAAAACGTATGATGACAACTCATGAGCCAAAGAGATCTGATACCTGAAAGAATACATAAAAGTACCATAACTAAAACATTGTCCATGAGATAGTTCTAAAACTCCCATGTCTCTTGGTTACTCATCGCAAACTAACACTTTTAAGCGTTCCTTTATCATACTGACAATTGGCAATCACTAGTCACTAAAGTATAGATATAAACTAGGATATCCTCTACATGATTCCTATACTAGAGGTGACCTGATCATGGCTTTTAAATTACTGATCGCTGGTATAAATGATTCTGAACTAGAAAAGCAGCTTGTAGAGTGAGTGAAATGTCACTGAGCCCTAGCCAAATCATCCGGCATTTGGGTTACCGCGGTGGTCTCGCTATATTCTCTGTATTCATTCTTACTAATTTATACAGATTCCTTCCTGAACTTTTCAGATAGCTTGAGACTACTGTTTCGCTTATAAAAATGGGAATAATGATCCTCGTGATGCTGTTACGAAATAACATTGTCTTACTATCAAATGTAAATAAGTTCATTATGTCACAGAAACGTCTGATTTTTACCAACGGGGACAGTGCAAATTCATTCAGACAAGTGAATAATTCGAAAAGCACTTTAATTCGTCTTTGGGTGTTAAAACCAGTTTTTTAGGTGGCAAACTGAATCTTCTGGTTTCATGTCATTTTCGTTATGCACGTTGTCGTAAATGCTGAAAGGTTCGTAAAATCTCTAAATCATTTATTACTAAAACACTAAATTATGTTGAACCAAGATCGACTGATTTAGATAAAAAGATGGATTTGTTATCTCTTACTACCTTCAGAAGTAGTACTTTACGCTTGTAGAATTACGGTCTACTATGATATTAGTGCTGCTCTAATAATAGACCTAATCCTAAATGTGTAGATTTGTCATGATATAACTGCCTAATCTATAAGATCTTACGTGGAAGTCACACCATCGACTACGCCAACTCACTGTATCGTACCAATTAACAACACATGATGTAGAGCAAGGTTAGGCTAGAGAAAGAACAACATATTTAATATGAATAGAAGAAATAAGATAACATTCAGCATGGACCACGCCTGCACGGCCGAGCCATGCCGTTCGATCAACTCTAATTCACTCAACTCATTGTTCGCGCCTTCTCCATTGTTAGGTATTTCCCCGAGTTAAATATTGAAAATCTATTTTCTGAGTAGTCTCATGTTCAGCTTTGTGGATTGTGTGGTTATGGTCCAATGCCACTACACACTTGAAGCAAAAAATAATGACCAACACAGCCAAGTCCCATTCATTTACTGTTGATGCTGGTAGCATAAAGTCAATTATTTCTGAAAGAAATTTGTTGTTTCTTTATAATAATGTTCATTGGAAACCTACAAATGATTCAATCACTGGCATTACTGACCACCAGTTATCCATTATTGGTGAATTCTTTGTACCAATGGACCCCCTACATTTTACCTACAGAACAAAGGAGACTGGTGGTAAATACGTCTTTATTTAGATTGTGGACGGTCCATTGGAGCGCAAGGTTATCTTTTCAACCACTTAAAGCACCCCAACATTCAGTATAAAATCATAGGAAATGCGATGCCTATGCAAAATAAGGAAGCGAATAAATACTCGAGCTACGTAGTTCTGACATTTACTTAGATGCTTGCTGTCAACTCTTAACCAATCAACCTCAGTTGTTACGAAGTTAATATTCTCATTGATGAAAGAAGAGGGTAATTATAAGAATGTTACTTTCTTAGCTAGTAACTGTGGTCCACCTGCTTATGGGGTACACTGTAAACGCTGAGGATCTTAAACCTGATATAATAATAATATGAGCCTCTCTGCCACACTGATTTAAGCACAATCACTTGAGAATATCTCGGGACTCAGATGGTGGATTGGTGCTCTTCAGTTTTACTCCAAACTACAAAGATATCCCCACTTTTCTTCTTGGTTTCTTATAAAAGGTTTAAATGTGAATAAAGACATAGGGATCTACTTAGAAATATTTTCTCAGCTTTTAGATGGTTAGGCATTACTCAAATTATTCTCACCGACTAAAAATTTCATGCTTACTACATCTGAGTCTCTCTGCGATTCTAGATCACAGTAAGAAGCATATTATTTCTATTTCGAGACGAACAAGCAAGAGTGAAAAACTATGTTCCTAAATACAAAAGTAGGTTTTTTGTTGTGATGTGGGCTTTAAAAATCTGTACTAACATTTGATGTAAAATTCAAAACTGAATCTGATCACCAAGCGTTAAAGTTTATTTACCGTCCAATTACATCATTTCGCCGATCATCTGCCATGGTCTTGAGATACAGCATAGATTTCAGTGCTTTCACCAATAAGCATCCAACGACTTGACGCATACTTACTTACGCCAGTTACTCCTCGTGAAGGAGCATAGGCCGCTCACCAGCATTCTCCATCCAACCTTGTCCTGGGCAATCCTTTACAGCCCCTTCCAGTTGTTATTCATCCTTTTCATATCTGCTTCTATTATCCGGCGTAATGTGTTCTTTGGCCTTCCTCTTTTCCGCTTCCCTTCAGGATTCCAAGTTAGGGCTTGCCTCGTGATGTAGTTTGATGATATACGTAATGTATGTCCTATCCGTTTCCCTCGTCTTTACTTAATTTCCTTTTCATCTGGAAGCTGGTTTGTTCTCTCCCACAAAAGGCTGTTGCTGATGGCATCCGGCCAATGGATAATAATAATATATTTCTGCATGTGCAGGTACACATCGTT